CTGCCATAAAGCAGTTTTTATTGCTATAATAGACTATTGGTGTCGGGGTCCCAACGCATCCCAACACTCAACAGTATACTATCAGTTATAGTTACATTACATTATATTACTGAAACGGAAAGCCATCTTTGTCTCCAACCAAAGCAACAACTCGCGGAGCAACCAAAGAACAACTAAACTGAAAAGAAGAACCACATGGTTCAAAACCAATACACAAACCCGGCCCGTATCGCGTATGCCACGCGACACGTGCATGAAAGCAAGTACATGATTGTACAGAATGCAGAAAAGTAGCTTGCATGAAATAAGTGCGTAGCGTTCACACCTGTATGCTAACCCGCACTACAACTCGCGTACTATACAAGGGACTAGTACGTATATTATAACCTAACCAGCTGATTATATGGGAAATATAAACCTGTATACAAACCGAGGCGAAGCCGAGGTTTGTATATTGGTTTATATTTCCCATATAATCAACTGAGTAGGTTATATTATGCTTATACTGAGCTGATATACAAACTCCCCTCTCCCCCACAAGGGTAGAGATTGGAATTCCAACCCACAACCATGGCTCGACGAGTCTTCCTTTCACCAACCTGTGCGGATCAAGTACAAGACTACCACTGACTCTGTGCAGTACATGCAGTGCAGTACCATCACACACTCTTTGTGACTTCAGTTTTCAGTGGTTTTAGTACTGAAGTACTAGTTACGTCGGAAGTAACAGCTATGCGCCAAGTAAGTTAGTTTGAACCTCACAGTGCTAGTGACCGTTACCGCGCGCAGATCTCACCGCGGGCTCTGTAAAAGAACCGTTTGCTCATTAGAGACATAGAGTTCGTCTCCTTTCCAAAGTAAGAGTAAAATGAATCAGCACGAGCCTGTTGAATCGACTCCCAAACGTTTCTTTAGTTCTTCTGAGAGGACGACCACGAATCACGATGCCATTATTCAAGCAGCAGTTTCCAAGAACACTGGCAGTGCCACGGATTATGGCTGTGCATGTTCCGTCCGCTCTGCGAGGGACGCGGAAAGGAGAACATCGATTGGAAAACCATCAGTAGTGAAGTTCCGTCGCCCCTGCTATCTGCATTCTATGTCGATGCAAAAACGCAGGAGCGGCACGCGGGGCTCTTCAGCCGCACATGTCGAGTGCTGCGCTTGACAGACGGAGTGCTGAAACAGCGAAAGAAGGACAGCCTCGAACGTCAGGTGCAGCACAAGGCACCAGTTACAAAGGACGACGTTGTATTCTTCATCGTTGACGGGAAAGAGATCCTGAAGTTGGGACCGTCGTGCATGTCGAAAAACCATCAAGGCGGACTGCAGGTCACTAGTGTGATCCTAAAAAAAAAAGGAGTTTATATACCAGTTTATACACCAGTTTATATACCAGTTTAAATACCAGTTTATATTCTCGTCATCGAAGTACCTGTTATATGCAAAATACAAGTCTGGAGTGTTGTGTGGGGAGAGATGGGAGTTTGTATACAAGCTCAGTACAGTATAATGCGCAATACACACGCATCCAAAAAAGCAGCATGCACTGGACGCTGTTCTGTTTTCGTCAGGCAACCAAAAGTTGCCGCAGTCTGACCAGGCCCTTAGGGCCTGGTCAGACTGCGGCAAATTTTGGTTGCCTGACGAAAACAGAACAGCGTCCAGAATTTGAATCGCGATCACACTACACATGTGGGGAGAGTGAAAATTCAAACTTCATTTCGAGCGTCAAGTGGTAATCTCCACGAACGATGTCAAATTCCTTCACCTTGGGGATCGCCAACACCTTCAGTGCAATCCTTGCAACCATCCTTATGGGTTTTGTTGTTGTCCGTGGCCAATTAGCTCCTCGATATCGAGATGAAAAAATCAGTGCTTATCAGCGTCAATGGCGTATCAGCGTCAAATCCTGTTTGGAGCGGAAAAGCGTGGTCCGTTCTTGCTTTTTTTTTGGAGCGTCAACTCTCGCTTTTGCCGCTCTGGCGGCAAGTTACTATGGAGATTCGGATTATAATCCTAGGATTATTTCGATTTTGCCGCAGTCTGACCAGGCCCTAAATCTCCAAGTACTCGTACAAACTGTGCAGTGCTGCAAAGGTACAAATAAATAAATATCAAACAAATATCAATGTGCAGGACGTCAGCGACCCCTGATAATAATAATAATATATGATCGATCGCACCAAACTGTTAGACGTCATGGCATTAGTGACTGGCCCCGATGAAGTGCGCATGATCCAGCACCTACTGTTCCACACACAAAATAATATCAGTGAAAGTAGGAAAGGCAACTGCCAATCCGTTTCTCAGCACCATCGGCACCCCCCAGGGAGATGGCTTGAGCCCTGTTCTTTTTATTTGTTACCTGGAGGCAGCACTGCGCCAAGTGAGAGCAAACCTTCCCGAACGCCCTTTCGCCGACCGTCACATACCCGGAGAAACAGGTTACGCCGATGATGTGACATTGTACTCAACCAGTGAGGAGTGGCTGAAGCGAAGCCTCCCCATCATTAGCGCAGAACTCGGGGATTGGTCCCTTACAGTAAACGAGACCAAGACCGAATTCTTGCATCTGACATCAACTTCAGACTCCTGGCGGTCCAGCAGGCAGCTAGGGTCCCTCATTGGCGACAGTGAGGACCTGGAGCGGAGAAAAGACCTCGCTTCGAGTGCATACGGCACGGTGTATAGCCTCTGGCTGAGGCGTGGGAAGGTCAGTGAGCAGAGGCGCATCCGCCTGTATAATGCCCTGGTTCTGCCCGTTCTTTTGTATAACTGCGGCGCATGGGGGCTCACGGCAGCACAAGCAGAATCGCTTAACGTTTTCCACCGGAAGCAGCTCCGACGGCTCATTGGCATAGTCTACCCAGCCAGGATGTCAAATACTGAGCTGTATGAGAGGTGCAACACGGAACCACTATCTGACATCGTGGACAGGAGAAGATGGCAGCTAACCGGCCATATTCTCCGTATGGACAGGGATGCGCCGCCATGGATCGCGCTGACGGGCTATTTTGCGGGAGATGCCAAGGCTGGGCGTGGACGTCCAAGGACATCCATTGCGACGCGCATCACAAGCGACTTACAGAGGAGGAACATCGACTTGAAGCGCAGCAGTCAGCTGGGGAATGTGAGGGCCATCGCTCTGGACAAGCTTACATGGAGAAATCTGGCCGACAATCCATGATCTGGCGTCACAGGTCATCAGTGCGCCGTGTTAATAATTACCTTGATAATGGAATTTGATCATAGGAGATAGGACAGAAGCGGAACGTATTATTATACCCACATAATTATATTATTACGCGTGCTGTGGTATTATTATTATTATTATTATTAGGGAGGTTTCGCTCTACGTAATTACGTATGAAAATCCGTATGTCGTACGCGCCGGGGAGCGAGGGCAACTTTCATACGTAAATCTCTCTACGGATTTCCGTAGGAAAGCTCTTTTATTTCCTACGTTGGGTCCTCCGTAGGACTTTTTGAAATATATTTTCACATTTTCCGCATTTGTCCATGGCAACATTCAAGCCGCGCGAAACACAAGGTACACACACCGTACACCACGTGCAAAATATCATGGAAAACGCGGTTTCGGTTCATGGTGCATACGGTGGGCGCATGCAGCCAACGCGTCTCCAAAGCAACAACGCATGTTGAGCAGTCGTGGAGAAATCACGTAGAGCGAAACCCAACAGCTCTGATTTTCACGTATGAAAATTCCGTGCAGTTCATACGTTATTTTCATACGTAATTCCGTAGAGCGAAACCTCCCTATTATTAAAGGGGAAGTTAAGGCAAAAATCAAAATTTCACCAGTTGTAGTCTTCGGGGTGCTGAGTCGAATGGTCTTGGTCCGAGAAAGCTGAGACGCTCCCTTCCTACTTGAATCCCAATCGAACTCGCGCACTTCCACCGAAACGGGGTGACTGCGCCCTACGAGATGGGGATTTGTATGCAAAATGTCACTAAAAGCGCCATTTCGTTCTTATAAAAGCATGGATGACCGCGATTGGCCCATATGTTGTAGTCCTTTGGACGCTGCGTCGACTGGTTTTGGTCCGAAAAGGCTGCGATGCAGCGTTCGCCCCTAATTCCCAATCGAACATGGTTGAACAAGTGGTCACGTGCTCCTGCGTACACCAGTCACCTGGTCACCGTGCCTGCAGGGTACAACTTACAGCCTGTTTTGACCTTTTTTGGGTGCAGTCCTGTCACTCGAGTTGAACCTTGGTGTGAAAGTTGTCGCCTGCTGGCGTGGTGACCAGGTGATTTTGGCACCCAGGAGCACGTGACCGCTTCTTCAACCATGTTCGATTGGGAATAAAGGAGGAACGCTGCATCGCAGCCTTTTCGGACCAAAACCAGTCGACTCAGCGTCCAAAAGACTACAACATATGGGCCAATCGCGGTCATCCGTGCTTTTATAAGAACGAAATGGCGCTTTTAGTGACATTTTGCATACAAATCCCCATCTCGTAGGGCGCAGTCACCCAGTTTCGGTGGAAGTGCGCGAGTTCGATTGGGATTCAAGTAGGAAGGGAGCGTCTCAGCTTTCTCGGACCAAGACCATTCGACTCAGCACCCCGAAGACTACAACTGGTGAAATTTTAATTTTTGCCTTAACTTCCCCTTTAAATAATAATAACTTTATTAGGATGACCCAAATGATCGTTGTAAACGTGAAGCTCAGAGTCAGAGTTGTGACAAAGCTTCCATTATCTCTAGCTCTCTTGTTTAGCTAAGAATATAGCTACACATATTGGGAATCAATGCCCGTTTGGTTTGCGATGTAAAAATAAAGCTTCAAACAAACAACATAATTTTAGGCGGTGTGTGAAGCAATCGTGACTGAGCGCGATGTTTTTACGGGTTCATCGTACCATACGCACTTTCTCCAAGTTCGAATGTTCGTGAGAACCGCGAATCATCCGAATGTTCGTTCGCTGTGGCCTAACGAAATGCGGATGTTCAGTACGTTCGTTTCACGCTGGAGGTTGCTTCCACTTCCCTCGTCAGGCCAGGATCCCGTGTCGAGCAGTTGTTGAAGTTTTCTTTCTAGTTTTGTTCAAGTCTTTTTTCCCTTCAACTCACTTTCCCCTCTTCCTGAAGTACCAGTTCTCAGACATGATGTGGTCTTCGGTCATAGTTCTAGCGTTGGCTTTGCTGCCAGCTACGCTTGCGTTTCCTCGCTTCGTTCCTAACATACCCAATCTGGGAGTCGTCGGCGGGACGCCTTCTCTGGTACCTTCCCCGTCCGGCGTGGCTGGCGTGTAAGTCGTAATGCTTCACTGTACTGACTGTTCAGGATCTGGATTATCAATTATTTGTTATCTCCGACTCGTACATGTCGGATATACTTGCACAGTGCCCCGGTTATCATGGTTTGTTTGTTTGTTTTGTTTTGTTTATTTTACTTCACCAAGTGAACAGGCATTTCTGCCTTCTCACCAGGTCCGGAGACCTAGGGTACGTTTGGTTGGTAGATCTCCGATCTACAAACAGGATCGAACAGCTGGTGCACATGGAGCAGCCTCATGTCAACCAAACGGTGGTACTGCAGAAACAGAGCACATTTTTGTGAAAAATGTGCCAAACTTGGTGCATTCTTCAAAATGCGTATGGGTCACCATGCATGGTCACTGTGTACGGTACAACGAGTCCAACCCAAAAGCGGATGCACGTGATCATTTGGGACCAAAATCGATGTTCCCGCCAGGTTTCACTGTGAAAAAGTGAAACTGCTCGAAACTGCTCGGAACATGTTCTGGCCGACCCAGAACAGGTGCAGTCCCAACCAAACGTACTGTTCTGGTGAATCCTGTTCTAGTTCGTACCAACCAAACGCGCCCCTAGTTCCGACAAAATGATGAAGAGTGAATGAAAATGTACGTATAAAATGATTAGAATCATGCAGAAGGTTATAACCATGAAAGCGGATAAAAAATGATTGAATCACGAGACGCGGAGGATGAATTTATGGAGTAACGTCTATTTGTGTGCGGACATTTAGCAATATGGCGTCGATCTGTCATGCAGTGCACGCGCACGTACACATATAAACAGGGTTCGCAGCGAAGTTTGGAAGTCTGGAAAAAGTTTGGATTTTATAATTCAATTTTCCAGGTCTGGAAAAAGTTTTGAAAAGGCGCTCCTTTTGGAATAGTTTGGAAAAGGTTGGGAATTTCGAGTTTTTGGCCGTGGATGTGCTGCACTCCTGCAGTGCAAGTGGCCGTTTTGACTACCGCGATAGAAGACGCGCTGGCGATGTGTGGTGTTCACTGATGTACGAGTCTCGTCCAGTCATTTCAGTGCAGCTCAAGCGCTGCCGGTGGTGACTTTTATTTGGCCGTTTTTCGTTACTGGCGCTCGCGCTCGACTTTGATTCTTTGAAGTCGGGACAGCAGGATGGCGAGGTCCTTTCGCACTCAGATGAGTTTGCTGGCGAGGATGAAGCCGTCTTTTGCGCTGAGACGAACACCAGCTATGTAAATGTTTCATTGGAACCCCTTCTGGAGGCGGATTTGAACTTACGGAGGGGAACTCTCGTCGTATGAATTCCCCTTGCTATTTTCGGGGGCTCTAGCTGCTGAAGGCGATACCATTGCAATGTACCTTGTTGAATATGTTGATGGTAGTGGTACCAGGGAGGATTTTACTACTCCCTGGTTGTACTCGTAGTGGAGAAGACAGTCATGCAGAAGAGATTCATAATTTATTTTTCCTGCACGAGTGGGTTTGGAAATTCTTGAAATTGGTTTGGAAAAGTTTGGAAAAAGTTTGGAATTTTGTGTGCTTGGTTGGCTGCGAACCCTGTATAAAGCCTCGTTTACACGACAACGATTGAAAAACGTTTTGTCAAAAACGTTTTCAAAAGAATACGCTTCCACAGATTTTGATAAGAGCGTTTACACGACAACGCTGAAAAACGTTTCAAAAACGTTTCGAACAAAAAACGGCCTTCAACGTGTTTTTCAATCGTTTTCGTTCCGTTTCGTTCTCGTTTAAACGGCAAAAAAAACATTTTACTTGTACGAGCCTTGTACTCAAAGCATGCCGCCGTCAGGCCAGCTTATTGCACGTGACCATTGCCCGCCGAACAACGTGTTACAGTGTACACGATTATCGTTTTCGTGTAAACAGCAAAAACGTTTCGAAAACGATTGAAAAGCGTTTTTCAATCGTTGTCGTGTAAATGAGGCCTAAAAGTCATATGATCAAAAATTGAGTACGGTGCTCAGCGTGTTCTCATGACAGCTATTAAAGGGAAATGAGTACAATCGATGACGCCTCGGCGGATATTTGCACGCTGCATTTGCTTTTGAACAAGAAACTGGAAAAGCAGAGAAGTTTTGTGAGTGCTTTTAGACGAAGAATTAAACTTTCTTCACCTTGTTGTCGGCCGTTGACATCCTCCCGCAATCACCTGTCACCTGTCTCGGTAAGCAAGCTGGTGGGAAGCTTTCTGTTCCGCCGACCACTAACTCGCCCACCAACCAGCCACGAATATGAATCGTGGCCATGCATTTTGCACAAAAGAAAGGTGGGTGCACATCAGCCAAATCACTCTCAGTGTTCACCCCAAAACACTGCCTGATCTCTGCCTTGTACTCCACTATGGGGTACTTCATTCCTCGATGGAGTGAGGAGAAAAGCTTGCCCCCTACACGACATCGGAGCTTCAACTTCTCGATATGCCCCTCCATATCTGAGGTTTCACCATACCCAGCCCATACCCATAAGAAGTGATGTGGTCACGAAAGCAATGTTGTGAACACAAGAAGAAACACGTTATGGCCGTTTATACAGACGAAGGAATAAACGAGAGAGCTTGGAAGCTCAGGGCCCTACACTATGCTTTTTTGCCTTGATGACCTAGACAAAAAAAAAGCATAGAGATGTTATAAATTCTTATAAATTTCTCCTTAAAAAAAAAGACAACCTGGGATTCGAACCCGCACTATCGCCCTGCATGCATCCCCCAATACACTTCGCAAACATACTAAATCTTCCAAGTTGCTTCACGTTATGATCTTGCATTTGAAAGCCCTATTTGAATATGCATTGTGGCCAGCCGTCTTTGATGGTACGGTACGGGACATGTACGGTCGAGGGTAATACGACACCGTCTATCGCCTTGATGGCCTAGGCAAAAAAAGCATAAGGATGTTATAAATTTTTCAATTCTCCTATTTTTTCAGGCATAACCTGGGATTCGAAACCGCACTATCGCCCTACATGCATTCCCCCAAACACTTCCCATTCATACTCATTCTTCCAAGTTGCTTCACGTTATGATCTTGCGTTTGAAAGCCCTATTTGAATACAGTCAAACCTCGTTAGGACGAACTTCAAGGGGCTGAACAAATTTGTTTGCCTTATCGGGAGTTCTTCTTATCCAGATCTGACAAAAAATCGATATGCATATCATATGGATTGTATTTACGTGAAGGTGCATACTGTGGTAAATGGGAAGCATTTATTCTCAGCATAAGCCAGAAACAGGCAATGTGCTACAATTCGTGACTGTGCTTCCATGAACAGTGTACAAACAAATACAATGTATTTGTTTGTACAGGTCGTCAACCGTTAATAATGTCATTACGATAAACCATAGATTGAATATGAGTGATTACGAGTGTGCATGTGAAGCACAGCATCTCAACATCCATACTTTACAAAAACAGTTCACGGTTCGTGTGAGACTCGGTCGGAGCCAGTGGAGGCCGAGTTTTCCGCATCCGCAGGAACGCCACTACCCTCTACGGATCAACGCTCTTTCCTTCACAAAACACTTCACAACTCGATCAACGACGCGAACAGTGTACGCTGAAGCTTGGCCTAGATAAGAAAGCACGCACGTCAGTGCGTCTACTACGATTCACTACGTAGATCTATGTACGTACAATCAATGTATGGACCCGGCTAGCGGCTATCGAAAAAAGAAAGAAAAAAAGACAGCCAGCGCACGCGCACGCACCTATAGTTCGTACTACTCGCTGATTTTATTCAAATCACACTTGACAATAGTTCGTCTTCGCGAAAGTTCGCCATACAGGAGTTCGTCGTAAACGAATAATTTTGACTGGATATGATGCCTGGCCAACCATAGGATTGGCCCTAGTTCGTACTAATGGAAAGTTCGCCTTATCAGTGTTCGTCCTAACGAGGTTTGACTGTATTGCTGCCAGCTGTATGTGGCCAGCTGTGTTTGATGGTACGGTACGGGACAGATATGGGATAGCGCCAGGCGTGACACAAACACACAAACAAACAAACAAACGAGAGAGCTTGGAAGCTCAGGGCCCTACGCTATGATGACCTAGACAAAAAAAAAGCATAGGGATGTTATAAATTCTTTTAAAAAATCCTTTTTTTTAAGACATAACCTGGGATTCGAACCCGCACTATCGCGCGCCCTGCATGCATCCCCCGATACACTTCGCATACATTTGTTTGTTTGTGTCACGCCTGGTGCTATCCGTATCTACCGGCAAAAAAAGCATAGGATGTTATAAATTTTTCAATTCTCCTATTTTTTTCAGGCATATCCTGGGATTCGAACCCGCACTATCGCCCTACATGCATTCCCCCATACACTTCGCATTCATACCCATTCTTCCAAGTTGTTTCACATCGTGATCTTGCATTTGAAAGCCCTATTTGAATATGCATTGTGGCCAGCCGTCTTTGATGGCACGGTACGGTAGGGGATAGGTACGGGACAGGTACGATCGTGGGTAATACGACACCGTCTCCCGTACCGTACCGTACCATCAAACACAGCTGGCCACATACAGCTGCCCGCAATATTCAAATAGGGCTTTCAAACGCAAGATAATAACGTGAAGCAACTTGGAAGAATGGGTATGAATGCAAAGTGTATGGGGGAATGCATGTAGGGCGATAGTGCGGGTTCGAATCCCAGGATATGCCTGGAAAAAATAGGAGAATTGAAAAAATTATAACATCCTATGCTTTTTTGCTGTCAGATACGGATAGCGCCAGGCGTGACACAAACACACAAACAAACAAATACCAAATTAAAGCTGTGTGGACCCTGGCTAGCGCCAGACGTTACTGAAGTAACGTCTTCTGCATAGCTACGGAAATGAATATTGCCGCCAGCTGTATGTGGCCAACTGTGTTTGATGGTACGGTACGGGACAGATACGGGATAGTGCTAGCCGTGACACAAACAAACAAACAAATACCAAACAAGAGAGCTTGGAAGCTCAGGGCCCTACACTATGCTTTTTTTGCCTTGATGACCTAGACAAAAAAGCATAGGGATGTTATAAATTCTTTTAAATTTCTCCTTAAAAAAAAAAGACATAACCTGGGATTCGAACCCGCACTATCGCCCTGCATGCATACCCCGGTACATACTAATTCTTCCAAGTTGCTTCACGTTATGATCTTTCATTTGAAAGCTGTATTTGAATATGCATTGTGGCCATATGCGCCAGCCGTCTTTGATGGTACGGTACAGGACAGGTACGGTACGGGACAGGTACGGTCGAGGATAATACGACACCGTCTACCGCCTTGATGACCTAGGCAAAAAAAGCATAAGGAATCAAGGATGTTATAACTTTTTCAATTCTCCTATTTTTTTAGGCATAAGGCCACCCTTTGTTAATTCATTGTTTAACGTCCTTTTTTTCGCGAAAAGGTACGCGGGAGGGCGGAAAAAAAACAAAAGCCCATTCCAAAAACTGGAAACCCCAATCAAACATTTTGACCAGTAAAGCATGTGATATATACAATATTTTTGGGTCTAATGGTACTTGCAGGCATAGAACAACACTCTTTGATGGTACATTGGAGCACATGCCTGATGAATCCAACAAAACAGGTACATAGCATGGAGTTAGCATGTCATGAATTCATTACATCTGGATTTTTACTAGGGCACACACCGTACAATATTTAAAAGCCAACAAAAAAAGAAAAAGAACACAAGACAAAGGCATGCCCGGGAGGCAAGATTATAAGTTTAAGGTCATGATCGGCACACTGTGAAACTACACAATCATGTATTTACAACTTCGCATATTATTGGTACTACTACTTTCTTGTTTTTTTTCCGGTCGGAGGCAAAAAGGTACGCGGGCGCGGACGTTAAACAACGAAAAAAGAAAGGGTGGCCTAACCTGGGATTCGAACCCGCACTATCGCCCTACATGCATTCCCCCATACACTTCCGTTCATACTCATTCTTCCAAGTTGCTTCACGTTATGATCTTGCGTTTGAAAGCCCTATTTGAATATTGCGGCCAGCTGTATGTGGCCAGCTGTGTTTGATGGTACGGTACGGTACGGGACAGATACGGGATAGCGCCAGACGTGACACAAACAAACAAACACCAAATTAAAGCTGTGTGGACCCTGGCTAGCGCCAGATTCAGTAACGTCTTCTGCATAGCTACGGGATTTAAAGCTGTGTGGACTCTGGCTAGCGCCAGACGGTACTGAAGTAACGTCTTCTGCATAGCTACAGGGATTGAAGCTGTGTGGACCCTGGCTAGCGCCATCCATTCACACACCTGCTTTTTCTGTAGTACACTCACACCTCGCTTTTCCGGACCACAACGTCACGGGCACGCTTTGGACGAGTCTCAGTGGAAATGTTACTACCCTTTTGTCACATTCGTGAAAATAGTGACGTTGCATGCCATATCTATGACCTTTCCCCATCAAAATGTATGTCACTGAAAGTTACGGTCAGTGCCCGGTCCCGAACCGCCCGGATAAACAATGTATGTGTGTGCCTGTGTTCACCGGAGCAAGCAAGCCTTGATTGTCATTGTTGTTCTGTTCTGTGCCTGTGTTCTATGTACGTTTGCGTATCGTGCAGCGTTTGTCAGTCAATTGGACATGTAGCGTCATGCGATGGCGCTCCATCTGGAGATGGTAGGTAACATTTACACCATTTTGAAGAAAAAATTTGAAGTGCAACTTCAAACGCGTTTTTCTCAGTTCATTGTGCAGTGAGCTAAGCACCCTTTTCGCGTGCGCTGGCTCAATTTGTGATTTATTTCTGGGTGTCTCGAGCGTGGTTTGATTTGCTCATTTTCCGTTGCTTCAGCCAAACGGACATAATCACTTTGCATGTTCTGCAATCCGAGGAGCATTTGATGTTTTGCAGTGGGCGTCAGCATGTTAAGCCTGGGATGTCGCTTGGGAGAGGCTTTAGATCACCTTCAGTTGCACTCATTCAGTGTTTGTTTCGTTTTACATTATGATGCTCTGCTCAGGAAATGTGTTTGGAATGGCTTTCCTTGCTGGTGGAAGTTCGTGGGCTGCCGTATGCAGCATGGATAGTGATGGTGATGGCTTGACAAACGGCATGGAGTTGGGAGATCCTGACTGCACGTTCCCGGCTGGACAAACACCCGCACGTACTACGGCCCTCAGTCATCCTGGTACGTGTGTTTGTGTGTGTGTGGGGGGGGGGGTGCATGTGTGTTTTGTTTGTGCGTGTGTATGTGTGGTTTGCTTCTGCCCGATCGCTCTCACCGTCGTCCTCCCGTCCGTGCATGTATGTGTGTGTGTGTGTGTGTTTGTGTGGTGCGTATGTGTATGCAGGGGCGTCGGAAGGTAATTTAGTGTTGTACGGTCAGCCATCTGAAGCACAATTTACTCGTTGGGGAGGGATGGCGGAGCCGAAAATTTTGGAAATTAGAGCCCAAATCAGTGCATTTTAGTGATTCACGGGGTACTTGGGGCAGATAGCGGTACAGTCAATACCGTAGTGACCGTACCGTGTCCGACGCCCCTGATATGTGTGTGTGTGTTTTGTGTGTGTTCATGTGTGTGTGTTCTGTGTGTGTTCATGTGTGTGTGTGTATGTCTGGGCGTGGGTGTGTGCGGGATGAGCTTTATGCCTTTAGGACTGTATATCTGCGAACAAATCGTGTTCAGGCCTTTGAAAGATTGGCTGGAGGACAGAAAATGGCTGACTTTTTTCTTTTTTTTGTGTACTGTTCAGGATTTGCCTGCTCAACCACGGCCAATCCTTTCTGCTTGCGTAAGTATGAGAATTGATAGTGGATAGAGATTAAGTTCAATGGCAATTATTTATTGGTCCTTTGATAAAATCAACCTCAGTTCCGTGTACTGCATAACGTGTAAATTTTAGGTGTAGAGGGGACGGTTTCAAATAGGAAATAGGTTGCAAACCGGAACGGGCTCAATATTCACTTTCTCTCTAGGTATTTTGATTAGAAGACATATGTCACAGTGAGACTACGATGTGTTTTACTCCGAGCCAAAATTTCATGGGTCTGCGATGACCAGAAGCGCCATACCAAGCAGGTGAGGTGTTGACATGTTGCTTCGCACTGCGCCTCGAGTTTTACGTCTTTTGAAAAATCAACTTCTTGTCGCAGGTAAACAACGGCTCGCCTCTCACCAATAAAGCACCTTACCGTAAAAGTCCGTAAATAAGTACCTGTCTTTTGGATCTGTCTGTTGAAGTCAAGTCAAGCCCGATAAACATACTGCCCGAAATAAGTACCGGCACGGTGCGCACATGCAGCACGTAGCATGTACATCGACATGAAAATGACTTCTCCACTACACACTAGTCAGGTCCGAAAGTTAGTTCGGGCCCGAAAGTCAGTACCCGCCCGAAAGTCAGTACCCGCCCGAAAGTCAGTACCCGCCCGAAAGTTAGTACGGGTGTGGTCACTAAATTCGAAAGTAAATACGTACTTATTTACGGACTTTTACGGTATATCAATGAAAACTAATTGAAGCACACACATGGCTTATTGTTACTCTGTACTGGCAGTCGTGGAGCGATAGCAATTACCTAATTTCAGAACTCAGAGTGAATTTGACGTGCACTCTAAAACCTTTCCGGTTTGGAGCCATCTCTGATTTGAAGCAAAAAATTGGGCAACTTGGAGGGAATGGGCCAACACAAGGGAGTGGCTCAGTTTGATTGACTCTGGCCTCAGAGCAAACTTCAACATGCCGGTTTCCTTCCACAAACATATTTCGAGTGAACAATCCACGCTGATGATCGGTTTGGGTCTATACGAATTTGGCTGTCAAACCGTTCCGGTATCGAACCGTCTCCTCTACTGCAGGCCAGGGGCCGGCCAGGTTTCAAGTGTGATGTAGAATTAGGTGACCAGCCTACCCTTCACTTACAGTGCATACTCTAGCGCCTTAAGGCCGTTATCACACTGCGTTTGTTTGAGCCGCGTTTGCGTCTGCGTTTGCGTTTGAGATTGGAAACGCAAGACGTGATATCATACTATACTTCGCGTTTGCGTCAAAATCTGTGCGCGCGGGGAAAATACAAAAATGTGGGGAATCGATCGCGAGGTGGCCATGGATGTTGAATTTATTTTCCTGAGATCGAGAAGTGTTCTGTTTCTGCTCCTATGTCCTTTGTCAGTGGTGCTGGGGGAATGGGAGTCGATGGGAAGACTGCAGCCGTTGCGTTGCCTGTGTTGGGGTGGCAGTTCCGTTGTTGAGGCACATCGTCCAGCTAGGCTAGTCGCGGCCAACTAGTCAGCGCAACCTCAGCCAGACAGCCACGAGCTCGCATCAGCTCAATGCCTCGCGAATCCAAATTCAATCAATCAGTACATGTAGTAGAGGTCCCCCCGCCGGCCTCAGCAACTAGATGGAAATTTGAAAAGCACACTTGAGAACTACTTGAAAACACTCAAAAACAATGCAGGAAGTGCTGCGATAAAGAAAGTCCGGTCTGCGTTTGCGGGATTTCGGTTTTGACCACTCCCCCTCCCCCCAGGTTTGCGGCTGTGCGTCTGTGGCTGTGCGTCTGGGCTCGCGATAACGTCACCTGATGGCATTTCATAGGCGACCGTCAAAAACCGAAGAAAACGCAGACGCAAACGCGACTTTTGAACGCAGTGTGATAAGGGCCTTAGGTGTAATCTAAATTTAGGTGCCTTGTTTCTCTACCGAAATTACCGAAATTAAAGTTACACCGAAGTATACGTCTCATCAGGTTTGCAAGAATGGACTGGGATAGAGAGCCAAGGGTAAATTTATTTTGATATATCTGTGTTTATGTGTCTCTCTGTGTGAGTACATGTGTGTGTTTGTGTGCACGTGTGTGTGTGTGTGTGTGTGTGTGTGTGTGTGTGTGTGTGTGTGTGTGTCTGTGCATGTGTGCGTGTGTGTGTGTGTATATGTGTTTGCATGATCATGGTGTGTCTTGACGTATGGGTATGTTGTATGGAACTGTGTACATGTATTTTCCTGTTGTTCAGCCAGTGTCACTACCGCAGCACCAATGAAAGGTAAAGACCAAGCAGCAGCTCAATAGAGAAATTAAGATGCACGTTATTTCCGACGTGACGCGAAGGTTCAACTCTCGTTATTTGGCTTGCGCGTCGAAAGACAAAGCGAGTGACCTGCAGCTCACATCGAAATTTGGAGTTTTAATCTCAATTTGACGTGAAATTGTACGTCACATCGGAAATAACGTGATCTTAACCTCTCTATTATATTAGGCTTAATGTACAGTATTCAATACGTGTTTTTGGGGAGGGTAAATGCACACACACACACACACACACATGCACACACACACACACATGCACACACACACACACATGCACACACACACACACACACACACATGCACACATGCACACACACACACACACACACGCACCCTGGTCCTGGTCCTGGTAAACACTGCCATTACGGTCACGTGTCCCCTCGCGGGGCCGACAACATGGAAACGACGCGCGGCGGCAGAAAGTCGGCAGTCTGCCGAGAGATCAGGGACCATGTTCAATCGGCACGACGAGAGAGTCATCTTCGGCAGCTATGGATTTGGAATCCACGAGTAGAGCGGCAGCACCACACACACACACAAACACACATGCACCCGTGCACACACATTTACACACATGTAAGTGTGTACATGAGCCCAAAAGCAAGCACGCACCCGTACAGACACACAAGCAGACACGCACCCGTACACAAACACACACGAATGTGCCTTTGCATTCTCATTGCTCGACACAATGGTAGCAACAGAAGTTGCAGTATCTTGCGTTTCAAGTCAAATCACAAGCCAACACAATCATACCGGTATTCATGTAGGTGACCAGTCTGCATTGGATATTGTTTGCCTGATGATTGCACACAGTGCATGAAACTCAGAGTAGCAAACCACAAGGAGGGATCCATTGTTTGTTGACATTATGTCATTGCTCCCTCGAAGAAGTTGGATGTTGCGCACTTTTCTGCAGCTGCAGGCATACCATAGAATCCCGCGGATAAGCCCCTCGGCTTATTTGTTTCACAAGGATATTTCTGTGGGCTTTTAAAAGTTATATGCGGTCATGGGCGTATACGCCAACACCAAAATTGTCACTTGACTGACTCACGACTGCCATTCAGAGCACACGAGAAGTCCATCCAACCTTCCACTCAGCAAACCTGCAAGAAAGCTCCACTCCCTGCTCAATACACAGTGTTTCGGGGAATTCCCCCCTCACCAGTTGAGCTTGAGTAAGCTGAGGAAGATTGGTATCGCCGTAGTCGCACCAACCTCTTCTTCACCAAAATTGTGCCATTGAAAAGTACCAAGGAAGTGCGAAGTACATTGCTGAAAATCACTGTGCAAACAAAAACAACTGATGATTGTGTTGAAATGTAAAACAATGAAAAAGCGTACATGTAGTACGTACATGGTACGACCTGGGCCCATGGGCTTGTACAACGAAGCTTCACCATATTCGAACCTGGCCTGGGCCTATGCGTGAGCATGGGTTTATACTTGGGTAGGCGTATCCGCAGGAATCTACAGTAGTCGTACTGACTATAAACATGTATGCACACTTACACCGTACACTGACACGTACATCATTATCCTCTGCTTTCGTGTTCGGTATAACTTATATATTTTGAAATGCGTGCCGGAGTCCATGTGTGTGTGTGTGTGTGTGTGTGTGTGCGCGTTTGTGTGTGTGTGTTTGTGTGTGAGTTTGTGTGTGTGTGTGCGCGCGTGTGCCCGCATGTGTGTGTGTACTTGCATGTGTGTGTGTGTGTGTGTTTGTGTTTGCATGCGTGTGTGCACCCCATATGGTGCAGTGGCATGTGCAGCGATTTCCAATCGATAGGTTGCGGGTTTGATTCCCGACGATTATGGTAACACACGTCTTTCTTCTCTTTCTCAGACTCTTCCTGACTTTTCTTTCATTCTCCTGGGTGGTTACCAACAGCCAGTGCATGCCGGAGTATGTGGTGTGATGTGTGAGCTGGAAAAAATTAAAAAAGACCAAAAAGTAGGGATTCACTGGCCAAAAAAGCCACTTCATAGCTGTGTGGTGTTGATCAGGCTGAATAGTGGCGGTCAATTCTTCAGCCTTGTAAGCTGTTGAATGGTGCAATCCCAGCACAAGCTGCTATGGCTTCTGCTGTAGCATCGCTATCATCGCATCCGGCGATGGGCGTCCAATGGTGTGTGTGTGCATGTGCGCTTGTCTTTATGTTGTTTGTGCATACGTGCAGCAACCACTGCACCAGCAGTGTCCATGACAACCAGTAATAACACGGCCACTGATGATGTCACCACGGCCAATGCAGTCATGACTACAGGTATGGACAATTTACCCTTTTTGGACGGTTCATATTTATTTTATATCCTATTTAAAACACATTTAAAAAAGGATTCCCCAAGCGCTAAAAGCCTATTTTGGGCTGAGGTCTTCGCTGAGGTGGCAAAATAACTAGTAGCGAAAAACACTCTGTATGCCCAGGGCAAATACATTTGTAAGGCACATGTGCAGTCATCAATGGACTTGCAGATTTCTGCTTCTTTGTTTGGCTGGTGTCTGCACATGCTTGAACCACAGACCAGATCCAAAAGTCATGTAGCCAAGGTGATTGGTTGATAAATGTTTGAATCCTTGGCTCTCTCCATCCAAGTCTGAAGTAGGTGTACGTGGTCAGCAGCAGGAAATAGTAATGTGTGAAACCATCATACATCGTTATTTTGTTTCCTGCCTTGAATCGTTCTTCCTACTTCACTGCACCACATGATCTACTTTACTGCAACACATGATCTACTTCACTGCAACACATGATCTACTTCACTGCAACACATGATCTGCTTCACTGCAACACATGATCTACTTCACTGCAACACATGATCTACTTCACTGCAACACATGATCTACTTCACTGCAACACATGATCTACTTCACTGCAACACATGATCTACCTCACTGCAACACATGATCTACACTGAAAAACCCCATACATCTATCACCCCATTATCCTGCTCCATCACAGACTCTCTCTGTGTCTCTCTCTCTCTCTCTCTCTCTCTCTCTCTCTCTCTCTCTCACTCTCTCTCTCTCTCTCTCTCTCTCTCTCTCTCTCTCTCTCTCTCTCTCTCTCTCTCTCTCTCTAGCTCTCTCTAGCTCTCTCTAGCTCTCTCTAGCTCTCTCTAGCTCTCTCTAGCTCTCTCTAGCTCTCTCTAGCTTCTAGCTCTCTCTCTCTCTTTCTCTCTCTCTCTCTCTCTCTCTCTCTCTCTCTCTCTCTCTCTCTCTCTCTCTCTCTCTCTCTCTCTCTCTCTCTCTCTCTCTAGCTCTCTCTCTCTCTCTAGCTCTCTCTCTCTAACTCTCTCTCTCTCTCTAGCTCTCTCTCTCTCTCTAGCTCTCTCTCTCTCTCTAGCTCTCTCTCTCTATCCTCTGTCTCTCCTCTGTCTCTCCTCTCTCTCTCTCTCTCTCTCTCTCTCTCTCTCTCTCTCTCTCTCTCTCTCTCTCTCTCTCTCTCTCTCTCTCTCTCTCTCTCTCTCTCTGTCTCACTCACTCTCTCACTTTCTCTCCTCTCTCTCCTCCCTCTCTCTCCTCCCTCTCTCTCCTCCCTCTTTCTCCTCTCTCTCTCTCTCTCTCTCTCTCTCTCTCTCTCTCTCTCTCTCTCTCTCTCTCTCTTTCTCTGTCTCTTTCTCTCTGTCTCTCTCTCTCCCTCTCTCTCTCCCTCTCTCTCTTTCTCTCTCTTTCTCTCTCTCCTCTCTCTCCTCTCTCTCTCTCTCTCTCTCTCTCTCTCTCTCTCTCTCTCCCTCTCTCTCTCTCTCTAACTCCTCTCTCTTTCTCTCTCTCTCCTCTCTCTCCTCTCTCTCTCCCTCTCTCTCTGTCTCTCTCTCTATATCTCTCTCTCTTTCTCTGTCTCTCTCCTCTCACTCTCGGCTGCACCAAATATGATACGTTGCCTGTATTTCACCCATTGCGCATCATTACCGGATTGTGATCAAGAAAATACTGGCAGCCATGATATTGATAGCAGCAGCCTGCCAGGTAAAATTATAGCTAAAGCTGCCTCATCGCAATATCTTGTTGATGCTGAATGGTAGAAAAAGTGACAATGCCTTTCATTCAGTGCAGTTGAGTGCCTGTGCTGGAGCAGCTCGCGGCAAAGTAGGACGGTGACTTTGTCTTCAAGAGTCCTTCAGGAGAGCCATTCACCCTATTCAGTTCACTTTTCTTCCTCGAATTCTTCTTGATAGTGAAGCTGAACTGAGAAGTGAAATTCTTGAATGGTCCATACCAAACCCCGCCCACCATCCTCCTCCTGGAAAGATTACTTATATAGTGCCCGGTACTGGACCGCAACGGCCGCCTCAGCGGATACAAAGGCTTCATCCGCCCGACCATGGAATATGCTCCCCTAGTCTGGCAAGGCGCAGCCCGGTCCAACCTCGCGAAGCTTGGCCGCATCCAGCAGCGGTGTATGCGCAGCATTGGCACTGGGACCATGCTCCCAAGCGTATCAGTGCGTCGGCAAGTCTCGGGATTGTGCTACCTGTTCAAGCTGCACTACATTTCTGGTCCGGCCCAGCTGACAGACATGCTGCCACCTGCTGCCCCTGAGCCCGCCCACCCCAGAACCCGCCACCGACATCAAGTGAAACACTTCCATGCCTTCCAGTTGTCAAACCCCTCCCCGCAACAAGTCCTGACATCCTACACTGATCCTCCACGTTCGGCGTACTCACAACATTGAACACTCTACCTTCTGCCATCCTGAACGCTCCCCCATCCCAGGCAGCGCTGCAACGCTTAAAAATAGCAGTGAACACGTACCTGCTCGAGCAAACTTGTGGGACTGCTGTCGACGTGTACACCACAGACTAGCATACTACCTGATGGCCTAACTCTTTCTTCTTTCTTTCTTTTTTTGCCTCTCAACCCGCTATAATGGTTGGCGTGAAGAGTCGCTGACGGTGCGTGGGATTATCGCCTACAAGTCGAATTGCGCGGCAGTGCAAAAGAAAAGAAACAAATTCATGCTGCCCAGCAAAGAGTTTGTTGGACAGCGATTCTCTTTCCCATCAGTGTGTGTGCGTGCGTGCACGCGTGCGCACATGTGGGCATGTGTGTGCAAATGTATGCGGGCATGTGTGTGCATGTGTATGCGGGCATGTGTGTGCATGTGTATGCGGGCATGTGTGTGCATGTGTATGCGGGCATGTGTGTGCATGTGTATGCGGGCATGTGTGTGCATGTGTATGCGGGCATGTGTGTGCATGTGTATGCGGGCATGTGTGTGCATGTGTATGCGGGCATGTGTGTGCATGTGTATGCGGGCATGTGTGTGCATGTGTATGCGGGCATGTGTGTGCATGTGTATGCGGGCATGTGTGTGCATGTGTATGCGGGCATGTGTGTGCATGTGTATGCGGGCATGTGTGTGCATGTGTATGCGGGCATGTGTGTGCATGTGTATGCGGGCATGTGTGTGCATGTGTATGCGGGCATGTGTGTGCATGTGTATGCGGGCATGTGTGTGCATGTGTATGCGGGCATGTGTGTGCATGTGTATGCGGGCATGTGTGTGCATGTGTATGCGGGCATGTGTGTGCATGTGTATGCGGGCATGTGTGTGCATGTGTATGCGGGCATGTGTGTGCATGTGTATGCGGGCATGTGTGTGCATGTGTATGCGGGCATGTGTGTGCATGTGTATGCGGGCATGTGTGTGCATGTGTATGCGGGTATTGATGTGTGCATGTAATAAGCCAAACTGCTACCAAGACGAAAAGATATCGTATGATCAGTCATGCTGCACAAGGAAAGCTAGAGTGTTGTAAAGAATCTCCGCAGATCTCTCAGGATTTATTAGTGTTGAGCTTAAGATGAAGGGCTACTGATTAAGGCTTCTAATTTCCGGCGCGTTAAAATATCAGCCTCCCGGGCTAAAACACATTTCAAAGAGTTGGTGGACAAGCCGTTGATTATTCACTCTCATTGTAATATCAAAAAGTATTCTTTCTAGACCAAAGAGTGGTATATTTGATAACATTTAATAACGATAGAAATTTTTACGATACTTCTCCAGACGTTTCGTTGTTCTGAACAACATTGTCAGTGGATAAAGAAGCATTCTTTATCCACTGACGATGTTGTTCAGAACAACGAAACGTCTGGAGAAGTATCGTAAAAATTTCTATCGTTATTAAATGCTATCAAATATACCACTCTTTGGTCTAGAAAGAATACTTTTTGATTTAACACATTTCGGCCGCTTCAAAATTTTAGGCAAAAAATTCCCAGGCCAAAAATTAGCTGAAATAATATGTGCCTAGTGTTTGTTGAATAACTGGTTCAGTATAGAAAGATATGCAGAGAATGCAGAGAGTGTTACCTGGTGTAGAGTGTCGCTCATCCAATCACTGTCTTCTTATTGTTGTGATTGTTTTGCTGCAGGTGGTCAGTCAGCCCTTGCCGCCATTCCTAGCATGGTGTTGCTGGCCCTGATCCTGGCAGCCATGCTGTTGCACTAGTCACAACACAGAGTGGCTGCTGGCACAACAAGCGGCACAGGCTCATGCCCCACGCTCGGAATAAAGCGTCCTGCGGCTGGTCTGACTTGATAATATGTTGATATGCACATAAATATAATCATCTCTCCTCCCCTCCGATTCTCTATTTCTAGATCCTCCTCTGTTCCCATAGTTTCAAGCTGCGTACTAGGTTCCCATTCTGGTTGCACTTAAGTTCAGAATGCCGCCCTCCACGGGCTGGCAACCAGCTGTATCACCTTATGCTTATCCATTCATCTCTTGAACACATCTCAGATACAAGAGTGAAGCAGACACTGGTCGAAGAGTTCCGTTTGCCCTCCTCTTCTTTGAGTCCACTGCTAGACGATTTGTACAAACAACGTACACTAGTGGAAGAGGGTGTTGCTCCCTACATGGGAGCTCGCGGTTTGTACAATAGTGCTGCATGAAAACAATGGGTGAAATGTCTGTTCCCCCCCCCCCTCCCCTCCCCCTCCCCCTACAATTTTTCATGCTCTCAAACCCGAGTAGAGACTGATCAGCAATCCTCACACGCACAGTGTATCTCCTACATACACATACTGGTACCTACTGTACTTGTTGTTGTTGTTGTTTGGCTTTATTTAAAGTGGAGTTCCAAAACAGGCCTAAACCTAATGACAATGGTCCCACTGATAATAAGAGAAAAGAAAAATATATAATAATAAGCGGACAAACAGAACCAAGAAGAAGATACAGCTGTAGTTAGATAACTAATATGAGCACGGCAGCAGGGGAAAAAAAGTCACAAGCACGGCAACCGGGAAGAAAGGAGTGAGTGAGAGAGAGAGAGAGAGAGAGAGAGAGGGGGAGAGAGAGTACTTGCGCGATAAGTACCCCTGGGGCACAATTTATTTGCAATGTCCATCCCAGATGGGGCAATAGGGACCTTTCGCATTTGCTACGAATCGAATGCGAAATGAAAGTTTGATCCGGCTCGTAATCGTTTCGTTGAAAACAGATTTCAGGTTTCACAAGTCGTCGTGCAAATGGCTGTCCCTCCAGGAACTTGCGATTCTGCGGCCGCGTTGTTTTCCGCGATTTGAACAAAAGTCCGTGATATCCGCGATATTTGAAAAATCATCCGCGTTATTGTAGAAAACTGTCCTTGATACTGGAAAAGCACCGCGATATTTCGAAAAGAAACCGCGATATTCGAGTCTTTCTTCGATGTTGTTTATTTCTTCAAGCTCGTCAGTAGTTTATTTGTGAGATCGACACCAGAATGGAGAAGTTTCTGCGCAAATCAGCGGCTGACAAGTCACAAAATAAGGCTCGCATCGAGTGTTGTCCGAGGATGGAGAAAACCTGTCTTGCAAGCTCCTGTCAGGCAGTTGAACACAGTCAGCGGAGCACACGTTCTGTTTTTGTCATGCATGATTTATGCTGTACGACTCGTGCATCGTACAGCACTAAAGTACAAGTATTGTACCAAAATCGGCCGCAATTTCCGCAATATTCCCCGCAATTTGTGGCACTTTACCTCGCAACTTTTTCCGCGATATTTCCGAAATGTCTCCGCACGTTTCTGGAGGGACAGAAATGGGCATGGCAACTACGAATACGACCAAGAGTACATAACCCCCGGGGGTTATGTACTCTTGATACGACCGGTAGCTTGGCATACGGGTTTTTACACGCACACGTACACGTGCATGGATCATGGAATCAAGGGGAAAATGTGTACCTTGCAAAACATGTGTACCTATCCAAATAAATGTGTACCTGACGGATTCGGAGCGTGCCACGACTGAAGAGGCTTCCATTCGTGAAAACGAGTTCTCCGCGGGGACTCTGACGAATTCTCGAACCCAGGTGACGAAGCAGCATCCGTACGCGTGGTGCTAAAGGTCCCTATTATTCAAGAGAGTGCACTATTCAAGAAAGGGTACTATTTTTCAATGCTAGTTTATTTGCATCATCCAGTATATAAAAAGAAAGAAAAACTGAGCCTACAGTTTACTGTAAACTATCATGACCCAACCCGAACAGCAACAAGAACAGCGGTCTTGATCCTGAAACCACCAGTGCAATGACATGGACAATACTTACATTGACAAAAGAACACCAGACTTGGACATGCGCTTGGTTACAAGCCTGCGGGGGGGGGGGGGGGGGGGCACTATTCAATAGAGAACGTAATTTTTCATGGCTCTTTATAGACTGTGCCACTATTCAAGATAAGGCACTAATGAAGAGAGGGATCTAATTGCGCGAGTACGATAATTATCATCAAGAGTACATAAACCAGAGTGTGCAACTCGGGATGGTTCCTGTGGGAGCGTAATTCGTGCACTACGTCATTTCTGACGGCATGGTAAGCCACAGGTACGGTGAAAGGTTGCGTAACCAGTCGCGGTGGTGCAGGTCACTGAGTTTGTCCTGATTTCGGTTTTTTGAAACGAATAGCCTGGTGAATTTACTTGTCAGCGGATGTACGCAGCATACATACAGTCCGTGCGCCAAATTCAAAAAAGTCGTCTAGAAGTTGCACTTTTATTTGCAACCGCGGGAAATTTGAGAGGTCTGGGGAAGAAAATTCTCAATGGGACTCAAAATTGACAAACAAGACGACGACCAGCGCTCGAGCATAGTACCTTTTCGCCATTCCTTCGTGCATGATACCTATTCTAATTGATAAACACTACCCTCATGTTTCGTTTCATGCGCAACGGACGAAGCGAAGTGTCTTTTTTCGTCCACGAAAGAAAGGTAAGGAAATTGTCGTCTTCGCGACACCCTTCGGATTATTTAGTGGGGCATTGTGGGCCAAGGATATTTTTTCTTTTTCTTTACAACTGTCTCCAGGTACTGAGACGGCGCTGATATCCTAGGAGTTCTGTTAGTGCAAAATGCCAGGTTACTGACTTATGGCGAGGTTTGTCCACCCAAAAATATGGGAGATTTCTTGGATAACATACACACATAATACAGTGAATGGTATTGCAGTGGGCATCCAAAACGGTTGAACCAAACAGATATGGTATGATACCTAGAGGCTAGGCACACAAAAATCACTCAGGAATTGGACGCAAGTCCCGGGACCTTGGTGCGTCATTACACCCGGACATTGAATGTTTGCCGGCGCACGGCTTTTGCTTCACCACTTCATACAAGTTTACGCACTCACTCAATTCGAAAGACTGGAACGAGACCAAACCGAATATGACAACTAAGAGCGAGTTGTGCATTTGTTGGAACAACGTTCGGGCATTGCGAGAAGGATATCAGCAGGGTCCAACAATGGCAGCAACAGCACCAGGTGATGATGGAGTACCAAGGAGCTTGTATCATGCACATTACAGTGAGCAACAAGAGAAACCGTACTGTGGTACGTGAAATCAGAGCCTGGGCAGGAAAATCGACACTGTACACTGTGCTACAGCGCCTCAATTGTGCGAGAGAAAACAAACAGACCAGCAAGCACAGATCATGAACTGATACACAACATTGACAAAGCACAAACCGCACAGCAAAGTTACAGGGCATAGCCGAGCGTTTTGTTGCCAATGAATTGCTTGAGAAGGGAGCAGTATTCCTTGTAACATTGCATGGAGTATACGAGAACGCAGAGTCAGAACCAGGCGTAACAAGGCAAGACGGCTACTGTACAGGGGCAGGCTTGACGATCACTTGCATACTCGCAATTTTGGTACAACCAGGAAATTAGGCATCACGTCATACCGAAGTGGCTTCAACACGCTACATTGCATTCATAGCTGTACGGTGAACCTGTTACACGAGCTTCTGTGAAACAGACAGCATGCCAATGACCTGCAAGCACCAACAAACGCAGCCGGTAAAACAAACGCTACATAACTGCCCAACATAAACTTGTACATGCTGATGAGAAGCAAGAATGTGCTTGATGTTGGAAGTTATGCTCGCATATTCAAAAACATGCATGGAAAAACATCAATGACATTGTTCACGAATACAACAGAAACATCATACAGGGAGAGTAAGTAATCCTTCCTCCGTTTTGTATACGCGCACGCGCGCGCGTGGTAGATAAATCCGTTTGGCTTGACTTTCGATTGAGGTTGCGTTCACCGTAGAGATAGGTGAACTCGAAGCCAACACCTCTCACTTTCGCTCTACTGCCCCTTTGGGGCCGATGCGATCCTTGTGCTAAGTTGTCGTAGTGGCTCAACAGAACAGGACAGGTGTGTGTGTGTGTGCACACGCGCACGTGCGCGCATGTGTGTGTGTGTGTGTGTGTGTGTGTGTGTGTGTGTGTGTATGTGTAAGTGTGGTTTCTGAACTTTTCTCACAATCGTATAAGTTTCAAATTTTCGTGAAAACCCAGCTACACTGTGACCGGTACAATCGCATGTCGTTTACTAGTATCTGGCGGTCAGTCACATGGCATGTCGGGTATCCAACAGCATCGCACTGACAGCTTATAGACCTTATATTTAGTATTTATAGTCCTATTTCAAGTAAATGTAGACAGTCAGCATCATGAAAGTTGCCATTACGTAAACACAAGCCAGTCTCTAGAGATGAGCACGACTGTCTCAGGGTAATACTAGTGATAAATACAGGTACTTCGAAGTAACTAGTTACTGTCTTTTTGATCTGTTAAGTTAACACAAGATGGCTTTGTAGCTTCAGTCGTCCGGAATATTCATTTTATTCCGCGGTTGCCGCATAATCGACACGCAACTGTACTTGTGCAAATCTCCAAACGCTACGTAATTGGCCGACATTTACTTGTCCACAGTGATGAGAAGCACGGCTCCTAATTTTTAAATCATGAAAGGATTACATATGCAGGTGCATGCATACAATGTGCACTATCCTGAAGTCGTGCGCAAATATTCAAAATCATTCACCGAACACAGAGAGGCGCACATACCGTAAAGTACCGCGAGAGCGCCCCACCTTGATTTTGCTGCGACAGATTTATATAATACAGCCAGGGAAAGGAAAATCGTATGGCAGAGTGCAACGAAGTTCGTACGGTGTGAGCAACTTAGTGTACTAAGGTCACACTAAGCAGGTTTTTGTGTGGAGCTCGTGTCCGCTCGAAGGCATAGATTGTCTGCAGAACGTGCAATATGTGTACAAAGTTCGTGTCGTATAACCTACAGACAGGAGACCACCCCCACAATACGCCCCCGAAAGGACGAGATGGCGGGGCGCTCTGACGGTACTTTACGGTACATGTAAATACGAAGGAACCACATGCGCAGCAAGGAGATTAGTCATTACTTTACTTATGAGTTGATGGATAGAAGTTTCCTTTCAGCTGACCATTACCACTCATGAAAGCAATAGTGAGTGCTGTTGTTCTGATTCACAGGTATATATTCGGCCCTTAGCGCAATGTGTTTTCGAAGCTAGGCACACGATTTGCATGAGGAAATCATGCAAAGATGTGGCATAAGGCCCTACAAACATGACCTAGGTAAAGGGATGCC